TGCCATCAAACTGGCAGGCAGTTGCTCTCTCAATGTGGATACACTTTTGAGCCGGCTTTATGAACAACCTTAAGAACTTTTTGGCCCATCTCAGGAGCTAAACGGTGGAGAAAGCAGGACCTTTTTTATGAGGGATCTCACGTTTCTATGCTAAACTTTTCAAGGTACAAGATCCAGGCTCCCATATGGCTTAACAGATTACATAATAACCAATGCAGCATCAATGCTATCATGCTAGCCAACCTCCTAATGGATCCAATCCAATCATAATTACATATGGGGGCTGGCTGTTTCTTCAGAGTGAAACAAAATACGAAATTCTCAAGGCGTCCAATTTCTCATTCACTAGGATATCTAAATATTGTGGTGTTGTTGTTAGCAGCCTTAATGGCAAGAGCGCAGTTTAGTGACGATGACGGCAGCCAGCTGCTGGGGATCAGTCATGTGAGGGTTCTCCTCCATGACCAAATGGACCACATATGCCGGGAAGATGTTACAGAGGTTTCGGTAGGTTTGAAACTGGTGTTCTGGAATAGGGTGCCGCTCTTGGGGTTCCTCCGCTGGCCCACGAGCACTGGGCGGTGGAGGCGGCACGCTATCCCACGGGGACCTCCAGATCTGCTCCATCTTCTCGGGCATGCTGCGGACCATCACCCTTTCACAGCAAGGCATAAGGCCTCCCGTTAATCCATAGCTTCCATAACTGTAGGGCTCATTACCACACGGCAAAGGGTCCCAGCTGGCATGCTGCTCTCGGCAAAGAGGAGGTCTCCTTTGGCGCAGCGGGTTGCTCTCGTAGAGCCGTGAGTCAGAGATGCTGTCCATTCGAGTCATGCCTAAGGATCGACCGTGCTGTGAGGGGCTGGCAGAAGGCAACATGTTCTGGGAGAGAGGAGGGTAGTCTCCTGGGCAGCTGGATCGAGCGCCAACAACTGGGTGTTGGGTGTGTGGCGCAAGGTGGGCGGAGGACTGCTTTCGAGGACCCGGTTTGGGTTCATCCGTTCCGTAGCTCTGCACACGTGTCAAGGCCTCATGGTGGAAACCGTGAGCAAAGGCTTGAAGGCGCGTTTGCGCCGAAGGTTGCATCTGGGTCTGCGAAGGTGGCCCTTTCATGCTGTCGTCCAGGCTGCCCTCCAATGAGTTGAGGTACATCTCTCCACTGTAGGACGAGAAGGAGTCTGACGAATGGCTTCGGCCAGGTTCTGGGCACATGCTGGCTCTGCCAGGATATCCTCCACCAACCCCTACAGGCTCTGGCTGTTCAAGACTGCAGAAACTGTCTTGGAGGCTCATGGTGGAGAAGTCACTGAGCATGGAATAGTATCCATGGTCGCTTACCACAGAGTCGTACTTGGGGAATGGCTCACCGTAAGCCACAGATGCGCCCTGGCTATTGGTGACTAGGATGGGGGGATACTGGACGCTGCCTGCGTGTTCAAGTGAGCTGTGGGTAAAGTGCAGAGACCCTGGAACAGGGCTGCTTGCTGAGCGTGTGTTTAGAGCGCCTGCTGCGTGGCTTTTCGTCAGTGGCATAGTTGGAACGCTAAGCGCTGAAACTAAAGACGGTACAGAACTGGCCTCAGCCTTCCGCATTGGACAGAGTCTCTCTTCTTGCTCACATGCAACTGACCGGATACTGGGGTCAGACTGGCGCTTGGGTGCCACTCGCTTTGCCTCTGAGCTACTGTCTCCCTTGGCAGCAGAACCAGAGGTCCCACATTTGGCAAGTGCCCCCTCGCTCATTGTCTTTACGGCAGAGAGTTTGGCAAAGGCTCTGAGCTCATCTGCGACAGCCCGTTGTGGTTGGTTGGCTCTTTCTGGGTGGTAGTACTTGCACTTATGGCCGTACGTGCACTTCTTACCTGTGATAAAACCAATAGTGGTGGTTGAGACAAAAAAAAAGTTACTTCTGTGTTTTTTAAAATGGTAGCACTGATTGTTTTTTTAAATAACAGTATACTGAAAATTATTTTTAAAAATCCAACTGGAAAATCCATAGTTTGACAGTGCATGAAAAACGTATCAAATATATTTATCTTCTTTTATATTACAGTGTTGATACAGCAAAAATGGATATTTGTAATATGCTGTGATGTTCTGGAATAAAGACAAATTAATTTCCTACTTTTGCTGTACTGACCATAAGGACACGGCTGCTTCTTGTGCTCTGGAACCACTGGTCGTTTACGGAGAAAATTTTCCAGACTGGGTCCGTGTCTCCCTAAAGGATCATCAGGAGGCATGAACCTACAAATCAATCCAACAGACACAAATAAGCACAACTCTATGATAGGAATAATGATTTAAATCTAAAATGTATTTAAATATGAACGTTATCCTTATTTATATTATAAATATGAGATTAATAATGTTATACATTATACAGAAGTATGGTAGAATATTTCTGTCCAAAATTATTTTTTGCGGCCATTATGCAAATATTAAAATAAAGTGAAACTGGAGCACTCTGCATTCACAATGTATGTTAAAGCATCATTAATCGTTTTGTGATGTGAACCACCACAGATGGTGTATGTGCATGACAAAGCATTTATACTGAACTACATACTGCATCAGCAAGTGAGACAAAAATGCCCATTTATGGCATTTCTATATTCACTTAAAATGACTTTTTTTGGGATAGCAGTGTGGCTTAAATCACATATAACTGGGAACAGGCATACACAACAGGCCTAATCATGGGACCTCATCACTGGAAATCAAACTTAAGCAAATAAATCGGTAAATTAATTAAAGCTTATTTACAAATAGAACAACTGACTATAGAGAGTTGAAACAAATGACAGAGCAATAAAAAGTGAAAGAAGAAAAAGAGTGAGAGGAACGCCATACGGGTGGTGAGGGTGGTAAGCACAAGACAATTTATTGAGAGAGAAAACCCCGTCACCACGGTAACTGTGTGCGAGCATACTTGTCATTGACGAAGCTGTACATGAGGAGTCGTTCCTCAATAAATTTCTTCCACTCCGGTTTCTCATTCTGCAAGTCTCGGTAGTTATCGTTGGACACAATGATCCCGTCTGAGTCGCAGGCCAGCTTGACGATAAAACGGTCATCGTAGCAAACCACTCGCCGGCCTTGGACTCTGCGAGACGGTGTGAAGACAAGGATCTTTTCCTTCTCTAATTTCCGTAGGATCTCCTGATCTGAGGATGAGGGTGACATCACACATCATCACTTCCTGTGACCTCATGCACAGACATACGCAAACTTGTATAAACATCACAGCACAGATGGACGATCTCACTGGACACATGGCGGCTCCTCAGAGAAGTTCATGCAGGCAAATAAAAATGGCTTTTGATGGTAACACACACAGTGAAAAGATCTACTGTATCTAACAACATACAGTAAGGGTCAAAAGTCTAACCTATTTTAAGCCTGAAAATAAACAACATTTTGGAATTTTAAACATTTGTAAATAAAGAAACATTATGAAATATAATGATTAAGAATACTTCTAGGTCGATAATCAAAGGCGGTGAATCTGTGACACTGATCATGTGAACTTTGTAAAACAAAAAAAGGTCATTTTTGTTTGTCTCGGTTGAAGCACAAGATGCTATTTGGATCATTCTCAAATCATGATTGAGAATATGATTCATCAGGTTTTACACAAATTTGTGGAGTTCATGCAGCTTGAGAGCTGCTTTTCTTTGATCAAAAGAAGGATGAACAATACTAATAAATTCAGAAAATAATTTTCAATTAAACTTTTCACTCAAATTGATATATTTAATAATATATACATTAAATTAACATTAACATAGAAGCAATTTATTTGGTGGTCTCAGATTTTTAGACCAATTGGAAATACACAGACACATACTCGCACTTCAAGGAAGTGTTAACTCATCACAGAAACATTTTCTGCGTGTTTTTTTTTTTTTTTCATTTTTGTGGTACCTTTGATTGGTGCATCAGGTCTCGACTGTTCTTTCCTCCATGCTGGGACAAAAACTGTGATATCTTTGTGGCCCTTCTCCAGGAACCAATCAACAGCCAGTTGAATGCCCAGGCATGAGAACACCTCTTTGTTTCCATGGCTACAAAATAATATTACCAACATCAAATTACACACACACGCATACACACTCAATTCTCTCACTGATTGGACATTTCTCAATACTAAAAGCATTTCAAAACAGGAACATCAAGATTGTTTCACCAAAAGACTTCCTGCAACAATGTAAATTCCAGAAGTAAACAACAATAGTGAGAATCTGATGACTCTGGTTCACAGTTCCCCAGGTTGTGAGTAATTCTCTCATCAACATGTTATCACTCCAGAGCCTTTAAGTCAGCATGAAATTAAAACTGACAAGGGATGCACAATATATCAGCACCAAATCAGTTATCATCCAATATGATTTTGTACTTTTTTGGTATTGGTCGATGTTTGTTGTTTGTTATCTAATTGTGCATGCATCATTTCTTCTATTTTTACATTTAGATTACCTTTGCCATCATCTAACGCTCAAATAAAGGGAAACTCTAAAAACACTAATAATTTAACCCTAAAAGGGGCGACGTATCCTGGGGGATACAGACATTTGAGAATCTCTGGGGAGAAGCAGTGAAAGCGTAGGTCTCATTTCTTGGTTTCATCTTGAAAGGGTGTTTGTTGTGAATATTTAGATGAGGTGACTTTTGTTTCTCCATTCTTTGTTTAGCTCACGGGCAGCATTTAAACCAGCATGGCCGCCTGTGGTGGGAAATCTACTTACCCTCCGATAAAAGTTGATCTAGTTCACATATTTACACACGTTGGAGGGGACTTACCTGTTTAAAAAGCTGTTGTTTAGCATTAGCTTATTAGGTTTACATTGAAATGTTATAAATTAAATGCTTATATTTTCTGTAATCGGTCTCTAAATGTTTGTATCTCAGGGGATACGTCGCCCTTTTAGGGGTATAAATCAAGATATAAAACATACATATAGACATACATATAAACATACATATATTGTGGCTTGTGTTCTAGAAAATCAAATCTTTTTGTAATCTTGACAAAACACATATCGTTGGAAAGGCCTGACAGTCAAGATTCCATATTTGGTGACTGTTTTGTAATAGATGTGATATTGTGACAGAAAATGATTGATTTGTGACAGAAAACTGCATTAGAAAAATTCAAAAGAGTTTGGGTGTAATCCAGTGGTTATTTTTGGTATAGTGCCCAAAGAAAATCTCACAGGAACCACAATTTTTGTGATATCAACTTCAAATTTGGAACATAAATCTTTAGAGTGCAAAATATTTATTTTATATAAAATACATAAAATAAGAATACTACATTATCTTTACTGTAAACTTAAACTTTTATAACTTTTTTATACTTTCTTTTCTTTCTTTTTCACTTCAGCAATAATCTGCTTTGTGTCTTCTTTAAAAAGAGACCAACCTT